TGGACAATATGTACAGTTAATTCATTTTTCCATTTTTTTTTTCTTTCCTTGAGTTTTTCTGGCCCCTTTATTATAGCCCAACTCTAAGGGTGCCTGAGATGACTTGACCACTAAGCTGGCTTTCTTGCAGTTTTTTCCATGCTTTGTCCCCAATTGCTTTATTCACAAATATTTCTGAGGTATGCATCTCTTCTTCCTTTAATTCTGATTAGCTCATAACATTTAGGCAAACACACTGCATTACCGAAATGCTGTTTCTTACGTAAAGATGATGCCCATGAATGACCCTTGGAGGAACTCTCAGTGCGCTCCCAGTTTCACATCCATTCAAGTAAGTGCAGCTTTCCTGCTGGGACGCGGCATCATCCCCACTGACCCCCAGATCCCGTGCGCTGCCCTTGCTGCCCAGAGCAGGGACATTTGCAGTGCTGGCCAGGAAGGCTCCCCCCATGTCCCCGGGGATGGCACGCAGCTTCCTCCGGGATTTGGAGCTCCCAGCATGGCAGGGCTGGCACCCTGTGTGTGCTTGTTGTCCCTGGGCTTTGCCCGTGTGCCAGCCCTGCAAACAGCTGCTCTTTCTGCCCCCCGTCTCTTTTCTTTCCTCTTTGAACAGTGAATCAAGCCCAAAGTATGTTATTAAATGAAATCTAATTTCTTCGGCTGAATACATATCCTTTGTTTTATTGAAAAGAAGAAAAACTATGAAAGAAAAGTAATTATGTGAGAAAAAAGCACTATGTCTCACATAATGAATGATGCTGCTTCTTTCAAAGCCTGGCTGCTCCTGCTGTAATTTTTCTTGTCCCTCGTTCTGCATTTTGTCCAGAATGGACTCGAGACAGGACTGAAGGTGATGGGAAGAATCTCCCTTGTCCAGCCAGGGGCTGAGCGGGTACAGAGAGGAGAACATCCCTTGTGGGTGGCAAACTTTCCACTGGCTTTGTTTGTTTGATTTGTGAAAGACCCAAGGAAAGCAGGTCTGTGTCTAAATTGATGCATTTTGGACACATTCTTAGGGATGTTTCCCAGCAAACACCTTTGTGACATGTTTTCCTTTTTATTCTATCCCAGTGCAAACCACCATCAACTCAAGTTTTCCTGCTCAAATTCCTTTTCAAGGCCGGAGAATGGCTGCCCTGTTGCCTTCCTTTAGCAGCACAGAGACATCTGGTTGGTGGAGCCTCCACTTTGATAAGAGCACCGTGATAAGGGGGAATTTGGGCCTCAGATTCATTATATGCTGTGCTTTATTATGTAATTGTATTTACAAATGAAACCATCTTTCATAAAAATGAGCTTCTCATAGACGTCCCTCTCCCTACTCCCCCATAAAAATGACACAAATGGGCAGTTTTGTTTGTGTAGAAAATACCGTTCAACAGGGTTATGGTTATTTTTTATGCTTGGTGGCACCGAGGTACCAGTGTCTGTCTCCTGGAGTGACCAAGTGTCCTTATCCCAGCAGCGGGGTCTGAGGCTGCACTGGGAGTCTCCAGTCTCATAGTCATGAAAATTTGAGGCTTTCCACAGATTTGTAGGAGGATTCGGTTTAGATCCTAACCTATATGGCCACAGATGCCTTTAATAAGTGCCCTCACCACAGGAGAAAGAGGCACCTTCCAGGTCACCAGTGCAAGACGGAAGGAAATGGCTGCACTTGCCGGACAGGATGGACAGTCCCATCCCCAGCTGTGTAACTTGTTAAATCACTTATAGAGCATGACAAAAAAAGTGGAAGTTGAGAATGCCCAGGAGAGAAATATTTCTCACAACTCTTTAATTTAGATGCTTTTATCTCCTTTTGGCCTACAAGCAAACAATATGCAGCTAAATGATTTTTATTTTTAAAGACTTTCTTTTTAGCAAACTTGGAGATGCTGATTTCAATTTTAATTTCTTCTAACTTTTTAGGCCCTGTTAAAACTTTCCACCAAGTAGGTAGGTGATCACTTTGGATAAAGCACAGAAATCTGATAGAAAATTATATAGAAATAGATCGCTCTGGATTTTTTTTTCTTAAATCATCATTAAAACAAAGCAGATTTATAAACTCAATAGCTTTCTAAGAATTGTCAAATATTTAAAGTTAGTTCGTTAGGAAGAAAAAAAAAAAAAAAGAAGAAGAAGATTTAAGCCTTTTAATCCTTTCATCTGCTCTGACGTGAACTCAGGAGCTTAATCATAGAGCCCCCGGGATGGTGGCTCATGATGCTCCCGTCAGCTTTCCTTGCCAATACCCAGAGAACAGTAAGTAAGGCTAATTTTTCAAACTGACAGTCACTGCTGAAATCGGTTTTAGCATGTGGGAATAGATCTATAAAATATTCGGTATTCCTATTTTAAAAGAGTCTGAGAAATAGTAAGCTGATTTGTATTAACAGAAGAATTTGATTAGAGGAATCACATCAGCGGTGACATTCTGTTGGGTTCTAGAAATGAATTAAAAGAGAAGGAAGGGGGAAAGGGAGGGAGAGGAGAGCCAGCCTCCTGGGGCTTGCAGAAAGAGAGGGGCTGGGATGGGCCAGAGCAGCAAGGGGACGTAGCGGGATTCGCTGTATGCATCGGGCAAACGGGAGCCCGGCACTGAGGGGGATTTTGAAACGCTGCTCCCGATGGGTCCACGGCTCCGCGGGGAGGCTGCAGTTGCTGTAAAGTCCCCTTGGTTGCAGCCCGTGCACAGAGTGACTTCAGCACCAGAGGGGCCTCCCCCGGCAGCCAGGGCTGTGGTTTGGTGCCCCCGGCTGCGCTGTGCCCTGCGCCCCGCTCGGCACTGCCGCCCCCTTGCCCCCGCGCTCCCCTCGGAGCTTCCCCCTGCCTCGCTTCCTGATTAAGAACAGTCTGTTAGACAGTAAGTTAAACTGTGGCTCTGGCCCCGCTGAAAAAATAGCTACCGAGTCCCTGCAACATCCGTGTGGGAGTCGTTTGTCTCTGGCTGGTGAAAATGCAGGTATCAAAGACATAGAGACCAGGGCCAAGCACACAGGATCCCACTGTCTGCTCCCCTGGGGTATCCCAGTTTGTCCCCAGCTTGCTGGGAGGATGAAGAATAGCTTAGCAGACAGATGAGGCAATTTCTACTTTCACTGTCTGTCCTTTTCCAGTTGTTCCCCGCTAGCAGAGGCAGCTGAACAGCCTGGGTGCCTCCTTGCAGCCCTTCCCATAGGATAAATGTGTATTTTCTTCAGCTCCCCTACATCAGGCAACAGTCTTCAGCACAGAAGCCAGAGTGTTTGCACAATTATGCATGATATCTCAGCTAAAGAATATCCAGCAGGGAATGTGAGACAGGGCTTTCCCAAGGCTTGGGGTGGTTTTGCAATCTGCTTTCCCAAGAACTTGGAGAGAGTGGGAAATCCTTGGGAGACCTGCGGAGAAAGCCCTTTTACAAGACTGGTTCTCCTGCTTTTGCTGAGGGTGTTTAAGCAAATAGGACTGCAAAGCAGTGCCAGGATTGCCTGTGGTTGTGAAAGGGGAAATGCATATGGAGCGAAGGTGGAGTCGGGATGTACTCAAGCCATGCGTCAGTGCTGCAATCTCATAAGCACTTTTGGCTGTATTTTGGGTGAGTTTTTTTCCCTGAATGGGGAAGTGTGTCAGCAGTTCTTCTTAATGACCAAATATGAACTAATTCTACCTGCATATTGTGCATTTAATATCCTCAGGTTGGTCTAACCCAGCAGTATCTTCTCAACTGAATCTTTGCCCAAGGGTCTGCTTTGTGTCTAATGTTTCCTGTGCCCATTGACTATAACACAAGATTTCATGACAGGCTTCTCTCATCCTTGCTAGGATGAGGCTGCTAAATGTGCCACGTAAAGACACCTACGCGATCCCAGGGAACTCTTAAACTGTTCGTAGCAGGTGATAGTTGGGTTATATCATGGGCTGTAAATTCACTGGTGCAGTTTAATGTTTGCTGCACAGTGAACAACTGGGATGCAATTCAGGTCTTTTGTTTTATGATTCAGATATTATTCTGAGGGCATCTGGTCACGATCAATGGAGACAGACACAAATGTTTTTACCTGCTTTTCCTCATTTTGTGCTTTTTTTATATTGACGTGAGCCATGGTAGTTAGTGTAACTAGATATCAGCAAGGAGATCTGAGCAAGGTTTGGATTTGTTGCAAAGGACTGAATCCAGGGAGCAGTTTCTTTCATTTTTTGGATGATTTAAATACATAGATTTAAATACATAGATACCTGATATGTGTAGTACGGTCACATTATTATGGCAGCGAAGGAAAACAGAGGCTCAGATGTTTCACCAGGTACTAATAAGACTAGTAGTGGACTAATGTAAGACTAAGGCTAAACTCAAAAGGCACATGATCCTGCAAGCGGGAGTAGGGGGACAAGCACCGGAGTGCTGGGAGAGAACTGGACGTTTTGAGTCAGAAACTTCCATTTTGGGGTGTTTCAGACTGCAGAGGGCTCTGCCCTGTAGGCTCCTGCAGCAGAACCCAGCCCAGCAGCCAGAAAAAATGCCTGTTTTTGTGTGCTTAAACTGAGCCCCTCAGAGCGCCCGCCTGAGGTGCAGAATAGGGACGGGGCAAGGGAGAGAGCCCAGGATGGGGAAGGCGGGTGGGAATGTGCCCCAGAGCTGGAGGAGAAAGGCTGCCACATGGAAACCTCTCCCCATTGGGTTTTTGCTGAGTTGGACAAGAGCGCTGGTGCCAGACGCTGCATGGATCTGTGTTTCTTGCTCGTTGGCCGCTCCCCTCCTGCCGTGAACGCTCCCAAAGTGCCCGGCCGGCGGGACCTCGTCGTGTGCCGGGAGCTGGGACCACTAATGAGCCTGGGCACAGGAGCGGCTCAGCCACACCTGCGTGGAAACGGCAGCGGGCCGGGACACACGTGAACAGCAGAGCAGCCATCTCGCCAGAGTGATTTAGCGAGGGAATTGGCCTGGCCTTTCATTCCTTTCAAACACTAGAAGGGAAGCTTCTGAAAATGCAATGGACGGGGAAGGGACGGGAGCCTGTGTGGGAGGGCGGCTCTGACACAGTCGGTGTCCGTCACGCCGGGTTTCCAGCCTGCCCTTCCTTCCCTGCCCCCGAGCGCGACCTGGGCGGGAGCTTAAAACATGTGGCGTTCGTCACTGTCCCTTGTGTCTTCCGCAGCAAAGCCTCTCTGGGCCCTGTCTCAAGCACGTCACCAGTGGGATGTGCGGCTGGCGCAGGGCAGCTGCCCCCGGGCAGGTCTGCGCAGCGGGGAGCTCGCGGCGCTGGGCAGCTCTGCCCCGTGTTGTGTCCCCTCTCAGGACATGCTTATAACCTCCAACTAGTCCTTCAGTAGCTGTTCGGCAAGGGATTGCCTCCTGCCTTGCTTTTATGCTCTGCAGCGTGCAGCAACTGCAGGTGCTGGATCTAGTGCTGGAAAGATATAGTTGGGTAAATCAGTTTCATAACTAAAGGTATTTTTAAAGGACTGCCCAAAAAGGGTCTGTTTACAGCCAAGAATCTCACTTTCATCTCTGGTAGTGTTTGTGCTGCAAACTATTTTCCCGAGAAGCTTATTCCCTTGTTTATAGAAAAAGAAATGTAATTATAATATTGATTTAAAGTTTTGCAAGGTTTCCTGCTTGCATCTCTAAGTAAAACATCTCCCAAGCAAAACCCGTGTGTTTTAGCCATTGAACAAAGTAGCTGAAGGTTGGTATTTAATGCTTCCCAAATATATTATGAGTCTCCTTGAAAACGGGAAGGTGACTGGTCCTGTGATTGTGTCTCTCTTGTATCTGTAGCATAATACAAAGTTGTGCTGATGAGAATCCTTAATGATCAGAATAATTGCCTGTAACTAATAGCCCGTGCTCAGCATGAGCGTGCAGGTGAGCGGGGCACCTGCCTCCCTCGTGCCTTGGACAGAGGGAGGACCTTAACGAGCCCAAGGCCGCTTGCGGGACGGGCCCAGGGCTCCGGTCCCACCCGTCCTTGTCCCTGGCGAGTCCAACACGTTCGAGAAGCCTCTTTCCTCCCTCCCTTCCTCAGGAAGCCTCTGTCTCACAAAGTATTTCCTGATTTCACCTCCTTTTATCCCTACCGAGTGTCAGTTTCTAGGGAAACAGTTCTGAGGAATGGATTGATCCCTTAGGACTACAAAGACTCATCTCTGTAGGGCCTCCTCAGCACTGACAGGTTGGACTTAGGTAGCAGGAGTCCAAAAAGAGGGCTTGGATCATGCAGCCTGTTCAGATGTTCTGTGGAGATCTCGCTGCCTTTCCTGCTGGCTG